CTTCTTCTATACAACAGATAAGGCAGTGAGCTACATGTTATTGCAGTCGCAATAAGAATCTATGTAATATCTGTGACAACCATGGTGACAACATATGACACATGTAGAATATGCTATAATACTTTATACTATATCTATACTTATAATATATATGTAATGACTCAAAATGTATTCATTCAAGCTCATGTGTTAATTTATAAATCCTTTGGGGAGAAACCTGAAAAGGGCTGGCGAGCTACTGGTAGCTCCTGAGCAAACCCCTGGTACATTGTGTAGGAAAGGGATTTTTTTTTTTTTCTTTTTTTTACATTATGTATAATGAAAGAGGAGGATGGATCTATTATAACACGGGAAAGGCTCATGGGAAAAGGCCATGGATGTACCCAAGTAGGAGTGAATTCTGGGAGTTGGGGTCACTCGGGGCGCGGTTCTGCTTAAATCGCCTACAAATCCCACAATGCCTCGCTGCAGCTGCTGCTAACTTCTCAGCGATGTCTGCTGTTAGCATCGGAGAAAAACACTCACATATGGAGGAAGAGAACAATAATGCGAGTGTCTCTGGGAGGTAAGACGTGTCTCCGTGCTGCTGTTGGCTCTTGGGTTGTTTTAACCTCACTGAAGGTCATAAACTTAGTAAATAAATAGTTATCGTTTGAGCATCATCCGGAAGCTCGACCTGTCACAAAGTGTGCCTTTTCTATTTACATTGAATTTTCTATTTTGACAAATCAAAGTCAGCTGCCAACGCAAAACACCACGTTATTTATCATAGCATTAGTGATATTAACCTCATGACGTGTGGTACATGTGCTTATTACACCTTTATTAAAACAACATGTACTTGTATTACATATCCATCCAACCTAATACGAAAAACAACCATTTGCTGACAGTGCTTTTGTTAGTAATCTACGCGATGTTTGGGCCAAATAGTGTGTATTTTTACAATGCGATGAAAGATAGAATCCATGAAGCTAAAGCTAAAAGCAAAAGCCATGGCTTTAGCATGTGGCATGGAGAAAAAGCCCTGTGCCATCTTGACAACATGATGTCAAGCTGAAACAACTTTAATATCTGCAATCCAGCTTCTCAAACACGTTTTATAGAAATATCCCATGATTATAAAGGGATGTTCAAGTTGTCTAGGTATATCTCATGTTGATTGCAGGTAAACTGGCTAAACTTAGCTTCTACAAGCCACTAGAGGGTGTCACTGTCTTGCTGTATTCAGATGTGGTTACTCATGTGGTAATAATGCTGAAACCTGACCTTTTTTTTTTTTTATATCTATTTAAAAAACTAAAAATAAACCTATTTCAACTATGTATCACACACAACATGTGCGTATAACAATATTACTTTATCTGAAATTTACACTGGATCTTTCTATCATTATTATTTTGTTTAACAGTTGCTTTTTTCTATTGTAGTGTATTTATTTGTATTTGCAATATGTATAGACAGATATTAATAATTACAACTACAGTATATTTAATATAACAAACACAACATATTTCACATATGTTGCAGAACTCTAAAGGTTATGCCCCTAGGATGTTTTTAGTTCAAGCACTGTGTATGTATGTTGTGTCTTCTGTGTCAACAATAGTAATTTCCCTGGAATTTGGGTCTGTTTGAACATTAGTGTTGCTATTACCGAAATCAAATACTCATTGTTACTGTAATTTAACGTCTTGCAGTTTTTCTAACCCATATTTTTTTCCATTTAAACTTTAACATTGCTGCTGTGCTGCCGAGCTGAATGTTTGACATTGCTGACAGTTCAGGCTTCTTGTTTCTGTGGTGACTTTCTTGCAATGCAGCTGCTGTCTACTGCTCTTAAAGAAACAAGAACTATGTCTTTTCCCCCGTAGGTTTAAAGGCGATAGACCAGGCATGTCCAAACCATAGAGCAATAACTAAGGCTGCTGTTGTCTCTGTGGCTTGTTGGTAACATGGACTTTAGAGTGCGATAAGCTTGTATTGTTGTGTTGCTGTGTTCATCTGTTTGTTTGGACTCCACTTCATGCTGCTATTCTACGTAATTACTATATGTGCTATGACAACTCCTTTATTTCATATTTGTTTTAAGTAATTGCCCCTAGTCTGATAGATAAAATATCTGAGTCCGAATCTGAATGTGATCGTCACACCATTTTTTGGCTTGCCTTCATCCTTCCAGGCACAAATACTTTTAATTCCTGTGTTGCTAAACCTCTTTGAAAGGTTGTAAGCCTGATACAATGATAACATGTATGAAGAATTGAATTGCTTCCAAAAGAGCTTGTGTTGTGGGCAACGTGGCCTATCTATCTCTATCTGTACAAGTCAAAAAGAAAAGTTGCTTAATCTTTTAAAAAGAACAATAAAAGACCTCAAATCAATATTTCTTTGAGTTTTTAGTTGTACAGATTGATGGATTATTTTGTTTTTATTTTTAATATTGTCATCGACCCGCGTGTTTGCGGTTGGTTTGTAAAAAAGTATAATGAATTGTTGACATAAAATATTCCCAGCCATAGCTTATACCAACTAAAGTGCCCTTTTGTGTTGTGTTTGTTGTGCTGTACTATAAAACAAACTTCCTGTTTGGGGGAAAGTGGTGGGTTAATGATTTGTTTGTCTCTAGCAGTGGTGACCCTGGAGGTGTGTCCTGTGTGCAGTGCATGTGTGGGTGTGCTCGTGCATGTGTGCGTGTGTTATAACTGAAGTTGATGTCTCAGCAGTCCTGTGTGTCAAGCCCAGGGCACTTCTCTGTGACTGTCAGCTGATGAAGCACTAGTGTTTGGTTTCATCATGCTGTTTATTCCCTGTGCGACTCCAGTTCAGTTTGGGACGTTGTATCTGGCCATTGCTTGTGGGTGTGTCTTAAAAGGGTTGTAGAGAGGCATTATACAGATCCCTGCGGCGCAACGACTGAACCTACTCCCATTTTTCTGTTTCTAGGCTCTCATCTAGACTTTCATAAGTGCACGTGTCACCCTGTCTTCTATAGTAGCACAAGTATTCACGTTGCGTAATGCAGCCAGTCACCGTGATGTCGTGAGGTCATAAACAAGCCTTGGTGCCTATGCTATGCCATCATAAAATTGAGAACTAACAAAGGTTGATTCTGGTACTTGTATAAAGACTTCACACTTTATAATCACGTACACATGTTCTAGCCTGGTTTAGTTTCGATGTAGACTTGATTGATTTGTTATTGTTTACTTTTTCCTAATGATCTGTTTGGCAAATTCAGCGCTAACTGTCTCTTTTCTGTAGTTGTTATTCATTTCTAAGTAATTTAGGCGACTGCCAAATTTTACATTGCATTATTCTCTGTAAACATTTCTGTAAATAATTGAGAGGTTGAGAAAGTATGGAGCAAAATAGCTGAGCATTTGAAATTCATATCGGTAATTAAAAACTGCAGAAGTCGTAACTCTTTTATCCATGCGTCATGTGATGTTTTGGGCGGGTCAAAACAAAAACAAAATTTTCAAACAATAAATGGTGACGTTTCATGAGGTGTAAACACCTTTGGAGCTAAGACTGCTTTTTCCTATATTTACAATTCATCTTTTGTTTTTGAGCCTGCACGCAGCCACTAGTTTTAGTATGTGTGTCTCTGTCTACACCACTAATAACAGCAATTAACCTTTGAATGAATAGCTAGACAATTTTCTTTTCTATGCATACATAGTTGTTTTTGAATAAAATGTATGTCTTGTAAGGCAGTTTGGGTCAGACACATGAGTTTTGAGAGCTTTGTGCACGCTTTCCGGCTCTGTGCTCCATGGTCGAGACCTGGGGCTATAGCGTACAACCCTTTTGTCTAAATTCTGCTCTTTGGTAAAATTGGTTATCCCTTGACAAATGCTCAGACTATGTCGTAATGGACAGATTAAATCATCTAATTTTTGATAGCATAGTCTAATTTCATACTACTAATCAATTAAGTTGTTTCAATATTGTTTTTCCACTCCTTACCCATGATATATACATGTATTTTATTACAATTAATAAACATGATTTTTTTTGTGATGGTCTCAAGACAATGCTTAAGATCCAAAATGAACATCAAAGCTAACTTTCAAACCCCAAAAAATAGAACCATGACTATTAACTGTGACTAGTTCCTATCAAAAGCATTTATTTTTGTCCATCTTTAGATCAGCTTTTTCAGATAGAACAGTGGAAAAAGAGAAAACCACAACCTCACTCAACCAATCAGCTCTCAACCAAAGAGTCAGACAATCTCACAGGGCAAAAGATAACATGTTTTCTAACAAGACATGTCATCTTTTTCCTTTTACAGGATGTTTTTGTATTGAAAAGCAAAATATATTGTATGGAAAAAATGAAACTAGATCATCCAGCTTTGATGATGCATAACATTAGTTCTTTTAATACTGAGACAGAACAAGCTTCCCCTGTTTTCCCACTGCCGCTCTTCCCCTTTCCTTCCTCGAGTGACATATTTCCACACTCAGATGTCACAAACAGATGACCCCCTCACTCTCTGGCATGTCTGCATGTGTTCATCTGCATGCGTACGTACTCGCCGTGAGAAGGTCCTCTCTAACCTGCGTCTATTAATACCAGCTAATGAACATAATCTGCAAGCAAGGTGATCCTCTTACATTTGTTGGCTGGGAGACTGGAGGGGAGGAGTGAACCGGGAGGGGAGGGGAGGTGGAGAGGGTGAGGGGAGGGGAGGGGAGGGGGGGAAGAGGAGGGAAAAGCCGTGCCCTTCGTCAGCTAGCGTGCAAGTAGTCGAGCTGCCGTAGTTGCCCTTCTTCTCCCGGCTCTGTCTCTCACCTCAATGGAGCAGAAAACAAAACTCATGTCCAAAGTTTCGATTTTCCACCACAGCCTCTCCCCCTCTTCATACTCCCCATAGTGTGACTGCATAACTTACAACAGACATCGCAGCTTTAGTGTAGCTTGAAACCCCATATAATTTGTTATTGTGCGGAAATATATAAGAAAACAATTTGAAGTTTCTGTCTTCAGTCATGAGCACTTTACCATCGTACTCGGGTGCTAGAATATCAGGTTGTTGGACACTCACATCTGACAGCAGGTAAGCGACTTTTTTATTATTTATGTACCAGTATGTATTTGTTGAGTAGTGCTTGTGCCGTGTCTTGTTTGGGTTCCGTTTCAACATGAGAGTCCCCAGTAGTGTGTGTGTGTGTGTGTGTGTGTGTTGTCTGTGTTTCAGAATGGCATTTTGTCTCTAGGGGAACTTGTGTCTTGTTTGTGGCTGCTGTTGCTCAACACCTTTGTCCTTTTTGCACGGTCATGGTTTGTGTTAATGTCATTGGCATGAAATGGCATGAATGTGTTTTTAATTTTCTTAGATAACACTTTCCAGTAATGTCTATGTATTGCAACATTTTGAAGTGCAAGAGATTAGGATGGAGAGTTGGAGCACACATTTCCTTTTGCTTTGATATCAAATAGTAGCTGCTTTATTCTTGTTATTATGTGTTATACTGTTGTTGAGCTAATATAGTTTGTTATGTTCATTAGCTTCAGTGATATAGTTTATTATGTTCATTAACGGTTTTGTTAGGTCCTCTAAGATAAATACTGTTGTGTTTAAGGGCTATACAAGAATACATTTAATTGAATTGAAATGAATTTATTATGTCTGATTTATTGGATTATTTGAACCAGGGCTGGGACTCAAAAACCATATTCAAATGTTGTTGTTTTATAAACATTACAATTCAAATATATTAGAATATTTATTTTGACAAATACATGCTTATAATATTTATTTATTTATTTGAAAGCCAAGTGTTAAATTGCCTGAAAGAAGCGGCAAACCCATTTATTTAAGAGCATTTGTGTTTGGTTTTGTTTATGTACCTGAGGTTGGCCTTTGTCTCTGTATTTGTGTTAATGGTGTCTCATAAGCGCATGTGGGCTGGGCATCCTTGTATGCAAGACACTATAATAGAAAATGATCTATCTATCTATCTATGTAATCTCCCTGGGTATATGAAAAAAAAACATAGGGCAACCAATCAGAGAATTGTGCTCTACAAAAACAACCAGGAAGAGGCTAAATCAGAACTAACCAGGATTAAACTAGGACTGAAAATAGGGTGCTTCAATTTGTGTTGTCATTCTCAGAGTTCTCAGATTTAAGTATAAAAGTATGACGCTCAGCTATTTTATTTGTTTGTTTTCCAGTTCAGAATCTATCATCATCATCTTTTTTTTTTTTTACTTCTCACACATCTTTCAATCAACTTTTTTACAGAAAAGTAAATATCAGCTCTCAGCTCCAAGTGTCAGATAGTGACTCACAGGTAGCTGACCTTTCTGTCCAGTATGCAACAATATAAAAATGTTGTCTGACAAGATGCAGACAATATTATATGGTCTGATTTGTTCGCAACACTTTTACAAGATTCTGTTGTGACAAACAACATTCATTTGTGACGGGGAAACAAGTTAGATACCCCAGCTTTAACTATACAGTATATATACTGTATATATATCCATCCATCTTCTTCTCCTTATTCCATTTCTGGGTCGGGGGGGTGGCAGTCGGAGCTGCACCCAGTACACATAGCACTTTCAGCGGGGGCTTCAGGCAAAGTGGGATTAAGTGTCTTGCCCAAGGACACAACGACAATAGTCATCTGTGGGAGTCGTGAAGTCGGTCTTGTGGTGGGCTCGAACCCACGACCTTCAGGCTCAAAGACCAATGCTATGAATATAGTGATATATATAATATATATATATATACACTATATATGTGCAACTTTTAATACAAGCAACATTTATTGTTTAACTTATGTGACAGGAACTGCACAGAGACTGTTACAATACAAACCTGTTGTGTCATATTGCTGTGGCTTTTCACTTCTCCTGCCAATATTTCAATATTCTGCTACAGTTGGTGAAGTCTCCAAAGAAGGCATGACTCAGCACAGTGAACTGGAGCTAATCTTTTATAGCCTGGTTTGACTTTAACCGATAACTCTATAGTTGGACCGTTTCTACCAGTCCTTCTTGGCTCTGCTTACTGTACTGACAATTATATAAACAGACTCAGGGACGTTAGATAGTCCTTCTTTCCTACTATTGATCATGGTTGATAAATAAATAAAATGGCTGAGTTTAATAAAAATTTTACTCAGTATTACATGTGAAACGCAACATTTAAGAAAGTTCCTTTAATTATTGTTGAATAATTATAAAATTGCAACTGTGCAAATGTCAACAACAAAACTCGATTCAACACTACAATCTGCCACAACTATGCAGATTTAACCCTTGTATTATGTTAAGGGTCAATTTGACCCATTTCAGTTTTTGAGTTGATCAAAGTACTGGTTATCCTTTCTTTTTCTTCCTGAAATTTGGTGACTTTTCCTCATCTAGGGTCATGAACTGGTTTGTAAAATCTGGACACCTTGATGTGTAGTGGAATGTCTGTGCAGAGTTTGTATACAAAGATGATGTTGCGGGTCATTTTGACCCTGACGCTTTAATGTGGGTAAATAGTTGTTCAGATCCAAAAAAACATGTCTCTTTGACATTTTATTTTGATTACCTCTGAGAGCCAGGTGTGTGAAGAGAGGGAACTTTCTCACACTTGTCCTTGTCACTGTTCTCATGTCATCTCTTTTGCCTAGTGTACATCGTACTGGCAACTGAATATATCCGTCGCCTTTGAGTTGCTGCCCCGTACACATCGACAATCTGGCGAAAACGGGAAACTCCTAGTAGCAAGCCAGTCTTGGGAATAACAGCGCGTACATCGACAGCAACTGGCCGTCACCTACAGTGTGTTTTCTGACATAAACTGTAGAGGGCGCAATACACGCAATACACACGTGTTGTTGGAGCACATCGGGTCATATCTCCGGATCTGAGGACAACTAGTTGCGGAAAAGTAGAACACGGGCAATTGACTGAATCCGGAGATAGACTGTTTATCTCCAGTTGTAAGAGCGCTCACATCGACCGATTTTGGCAACTGATCATCTCCCATCATCTACTCTCAGTTGCCAAAAGCCGTCTTGCAACTAGTTAGGCAATGCTAGGCTTTAGACAAACTCACCAAAAATGAGCTCCAGAAGGATGACATCTGAGGAGGCTTCATCACAGATTTTTAACTGGGATAATGATTTAGAGGAAGAGATTTCAGAAACAGAGGATTTTTCAGAGACAGAGGACAATGTTATTGCTGATCCAGATTGTCAATTTTCTTACGATAAGGAGGATTCAGAGGACGAATCTTTGGCCAAGTAAAGAGGAAGGGAGGAAGGAAGGAAGGTAGGAAGGAAAGAAGGGAGAAAGGAAGGAAGGAAGGAAAAGAAAAGAAGGGAATAGAGAAGGATGAACAGAGAGAAGGAAAACAGGATGAGAAAAAAGGAGAAAGCATGGCAGGAGGAAAGAGGGAGGGAAGAATTGTCATTTTGACCCGAGAGGAGGACAAGAAGATTAGACTAAATATTTCTTAAATATATCGTTGGAATAAAAAATGTATTGTATGTCACTTTTCTAAATATTTATATAACCTAAAATAAAGTTGTTATTGGTTTAACCTGTTTTCTTGACTGTTTTGAGTGCATTTACACAGTACGGGTCAAAATGACCCGCAACATAATCAATGTAATTTTTTTTCAACATAATACAAGGGTTAAAAGGCCTCTTGTCTCTATGCTATTGCTCAGTAGCACATGGGACAGCCATGGGGACCGAAAGATTGGCGGAGCTAGCCTATATTTGGGTATCGTCCTGTCCTCCTGGTTCTGCGCAGTGGACGAGCTCCCATGATGCTTTACGCCAAATACGCGTGTGTGGCTCTCATGCATGTGCACCGAGGGTCTCGGCCACATTCTGACCAATCAGCGGCTGGTGATCAGAGTGGAGCGAGAGTGGAAACCAAACGAGCAGAGTTTTGAGCAGAGTAAGTGGATTTATAAAAAACCAAAGGATTTAACAAGAAAAGAAGTTCAGGACCACAAGGGACACTAAAATCCCCACAAAATTCGAACTTTATGTAAGTTCTATGAGACATTTTTCTGGGTAGCTTGTGAGAATTTAGTCTGCAGTACTGCGGGTGCCCCTTGTGCCCATTGGTGAAACAGCTATAAGCTAGTAATACTCTATCCAGATATTATTATAGATCCATGTCTGTATGCCACTGTCGATGATGCTCCATTTAGTGCAGGTTAATGCCGTGAACTTGACGCTGCATGCGCAATGGCTCATGGGGGATGAAGTTGATATGAGCATTGGAGTTATGTATTACAAAAGTAATGTAATAACTGTAATGTGTTACTTGTTGCTGTAACACAGTAATGTAAGGCATTACAAATCAAAAACAGGGTAATATTCACGCGGTACAAAGATCAGTAACGTGCGTTCATTGCATTTCAACTCCGCTCACCGGTTGGTGTTTGCGAAAGAGCAGAGACATGCAACCTATGGATAGATGAGAGAATAAGCTCTGGTTTAACCTTTAAAGCAAAAAAGATTCACATTTGACAGAGACATGAGCCGCTCAAAAGTGCTGTTTGAGACAGAGGAGAAAACATGTGCGCAATGAGCTGTGACGTGGCACGTTTTAAAACCGGAATGATGCACTTCTGACTGAGCCAGGACTGAACCCAGATTAACCAGTTTATCCCAAGTTTCTCCAGAATCAGCAATAGTGACAATCCAATAGCAGTAAATAAAAGAGTAGATAACAACCCCTTTGATTATTAGATTAAAAAAAAAAAAAAAAAGATTAACTCATCCGCTGCGTTTCGGGACCTCCCACGGTACAAATTAAGCACTGTCTACTCGGCTCTACTCTACTCTCCGCTACTTGGCCCAACTCTACCTGGTTGCATTTCCATTACACTTTAATCTTTGCTACTGTATCCTCGCAACCTACCCACAACAAACCAATATCCAGGGATACCATTCCTTGGTAACCACAACTTCCAGCCTGGTTAGATCAAGCTTGACCATGTTAGAAACAGGGCCAAGCAGGTACCAAACAAGTACCTGGTCCCAGTTTAGCAGGGTTCGTGGAAATGCCCCCCAAACAGAGTAACTCATCAC